GCGGGAAAAACGACCCATAAATGCGCTGCACGTACCGGCTGAATGAGATATTCTCAGACAATGCACGTTATTCAGTGCCTCGGAGACTGTATATGTATACAAATGTCGATTGTCCGAACGAAGCACGCAATCACTCTCAACTCTACTCACGAAGAGGAACTGCGCTGCGCATGCTTGCTCCACGCGCATTGACCTGCGCGAAGATTGACCGCCAGAATCGGGAAATAGTGTTCATCGCCTTGGTCGGAAGAGCGGTATATCTATCTCATCTCAAATGAGGATACCGTCCTCGACTTCGTGGTACGATTCAGGCTGATGTACCAGTAGCTCGGAAAAGTACTTGAAACAAAAAAGCCCTCAGCATAAGTTGCGAGCAAACATGTGAGCGAGCTGGGACAATTTTACTCAGAACGGCTCTGTGGAAGAATATGACATGCAATAGAGCTTTTCACTCTAACGCTCAAAGGCATCCGCAATCATGTACGGGAAGAGCTTCTCTCGAAGCCGCCCAGTGGGCATCGACACCTGGGCTTCTGATAAGGCAAGCAAATTTGTATTACTCACTTGGTGATTATTTGAATATGTGGAAGATGATGCACTCATTGTGTCGTGTTCCAAGTCCGGCCGTGGTGCTGAGAAAGCTGATCGAAAATGTGCGCAATACCACCTCTAGATGATCCGAGAGGCTTGAAGATTCTCTGTTAAAAGCGATTTGGAGCGAAAATCTTGGCCACATTGGAATCGACCAGATCGGACCAAGGCTGCAAGTTTTGCGGAGGCAGATGAACTTGGCCTGTTGACGCCGTTCTAGGCGACGCCGAAACGGCAAAAATTTGCCTCTAGCCTGCTGCGGATGGAAATGATAGCCAACGAGTGTAGGCATATCGGCAACGAGATGCTCAGGCAAGATGAAGAGAGGTCTGAAGCCAGAGACCGGCTTGTCCTTTTGAACTCGAGAAAAATTAGCAACCGCATCCAAACACATCTACTTTCAAGCCGTAGACTAACGTCCGATGAGAGTCAATCGGGTAAGCGAAAAAAATTGGGAACTACAAGGATACTCAGCAGTGCTCAGAGACAGGTCGTCTCTGGGACTTAGAACAAATTTAGCCCCAAGTGCTAGATACTAGCATTCCGACAAGGCTCTCTCTCTTGTTGTTTGTTGTTGCTCGAAGTTGCTTCTCGTTTATCTCAGAGAGTAACTGATCCAATACGCTACCAGAATGCATGTTTCGTGTAGGAAGAGGCTGTAGCGCCAACTGTTCACAGTCATCTTTCTGTCTGCTGTACACTAATCCAAGAAGATGTTTCGCCCGACATAGACTCACACCTACCAGCTCTTCTTCATCATACACGATATCAAGTCTACTTCGCCGTAGAGTCGAGTCGAAATATTTCCGAGGGAGTCGGACTGTGCTTTTGCTTCATGCAGAGCTTCAGCTTGGTAAATGAATAAAGTATCAAAATTTAAATGAGAAACAGGAAGCCTTTGCCGACATCGAAGGAAGTATTTTAGGGGTCCACTAATTCATTTGTCATTTACGATCTCGGATTTTCAATGAATACGCACCGTTCCCATTGTTCCCATTGTTCCCATTGTTCCCATTGTTCCCATTGTTCCCATTGTTCCCATTGTTCCCATTGTTCCCATTGTTCCCATTGTTTCCCTTGTTCCCATTGTTCCTTTTGCTCCCCTTTTTTCCTTCTTTCTTATTATTCTCATTGTTCTCATGCTTCTGATTGTCCCACTGCCCCTATTGCTCTGTTTATTACCTTTGTGTTGTCGTTCTTATTGCTCCCATTGTGTTGACACAACTTGCAAGTGACGCGAAGAAAGCTATATGTAGCGACACATGACAGAAAGACTTTGAAGTGTTCCTCTGCAAAGTCGTGAAGAAGCCACTCGCTTCATTTTGGCCGGAGGTTGACTCGTTTGTGGCGCTGCCGCAGACATGTCGAGAGTACTACTCGTGTCAAAGTTAAAGAACCGTTGTCAAAAGGGCGTGTTGGCCCAAGCCTCGCAGAACGAAAGTCGCGTGCCAACACAGTTGAAGCGAAGCCCTTGAAGCGAAGCCCACAGGGCCGGCATGGCCATTCTCCGAGCTTACCGTTTGCCTAGCACAAGTAATGGCAACATACTCATTGTGCATGTGTCTTAGCTAATATCACTTGGTATGAAGAAACGGAGGAGAAGCTGGCGGCTTAAATTACAAGAAAGGGGAAGTCGACCGGCTCTATCGACACTGAAGCGTACGAATAAAGTAGCTACTTCACAAGTCAATGTTGGTCTACTCCGTGGATGCGCTTGATTTGTTGCACCATATCCAGGTGTTTTGCCATGATTGACGAGAGCACGGCGAAAGTAATCGTATCGATCTTTGTGACATTGATCAGCTCTGCACACTCAAGAATTGAGAATCCGAACTGGTGCGCTACAATGAAAACCTTTTCTATCTCCCTCGGCGCGCTTGCTTCCCCCACAGCTTGCAGGCTCGAGTCGTTCCTGTAGTGAAAATTTGGTAGGGTCGAATACGCTTCATGATGGAAGCCCTTGCTTGCAATGTGTTCGAGCGAATTTGTTGTTGTCGTTACGGATCGGCGTAAGCGCTTCCAAATTCGAAATATTTCGTATTTACAGTACGTCTTGAGATGCTCCGTAATGCTGACTCTCGGCATGGCCAAGAGTTCGCAACGCACGTGTCACCCTTCTTGACACCTTGGCTTTTGAGCATATTGGCAAGCTGACATACCTGCTGCAACAGCTGTTTGTAGCTCAGCTTTCTTCCCAGGTGTGGCTCATCTGCCTCGTAAATGATGGCAGCCTGCCATGAATTCTACGGCTTACCTTTTTTTTCTTACGGACTGTACCAGTGCGAGCGTGTCAACCACCTTTTCGGGTGTCTCGAACGCCCAGCGATCAACACAGTTGTATGGCGCATTGAGCTGGCCCTCTGGAAACCAAGAAACATCACCGTCCAGAAAACATCCAGCCCGCGTAGTACGGAAAGGCATGTCCCATGATCCAGTGGCTCGAGCAATCCACCACACGGTAAATGTCCAATGGCTGTACTCCGTCCTCGGCTTTTCTCGATAAAGCCGCAAGAAAAAGATGACGAGTACGTCCGTCACGGCGGAAATACGTCAGTTCAGGATTCGGGAAAGCGAAAGCAACCCGATGGAGACGCGAGTCAATTGAAGTCCCAACTTTTTCGAGCCCGACTGACGGGCCCGTTGTTTTTTTTGGGGGCTGATCTCGGCTTGCAAAATGTTCTTCTCTTCCGCGCGCGCTTTCCTGCCCTCAGAGAGAGGTGTCAGACGCCTGAATCGAAGGCACTTTGATGTCATTTTATGCGCTCGTCAAGTTCGTTGATGACTTTCCTGAGCTCATTGACTAGCTCTTCTTCTTCAATGTCTTCCTTCGACGGCCGGCAAGCTTAAGAGCTTCAAGAGGACGTCAGTGCTCCTACAGGCTGTCGCACCAGCGGGGATGAGCCGCATGGCCTGTAAGTGGTACGAGCAGATGAAGTGAAGAGCGCGCCACATGCATCGACGCCTAGTACTTTGGTTGTCCTGGATCTGTGGTGCGTAGCTGGCAAGCACCAAGGACATGCTGGGGCGTCTTATGTCTCGAGAAGCTGACGACGGTACAAGGTTGTGCGCCAGCGGTCCACATTGAATTTTCCCTCCATGGTATGCTCATTCAATCTGTTTTGAGATCGTGGTGTGGGCCAAGATTTGTGCAGAGAGATAAGGTTGTGTCACTTTCACCACTACGCCCTCCCCAATTTTAGGGGTTGTCTAATCACTGACGTGCTCACGCTTCTATCGATGTCATTTCCACCGTTTTCAGCAACCAGGCACGCTAAAACCATTTTTGGCACTAAACAACTCGTCTCATCTATTTGTCAACAAATTTGTTCAAGATTTTTTCTTTGCACCTAATCTAGACATATTTCACAACCTTCGCAGAACTACTTCACCTACAGCTGTCGTTTGCCGACAGATGTCATGTGTCGCTGGAAATAGATCTACTCGTTTCCGTTGTAAGTTCTGTCAAGATAATTGAACCAGGAAGGAACAATGATCAATTGATAAAGAGAGCAAAGGGATTAACAGGAATATCCAAGTATTATGGGAACATGATATCCAACAAGATCAATGGGAACAGTGGGAGCAATAGGACGGAAACAGCGGGAACAATGGAGACAATTAAAAATAATGGGAACAACGATTCCGCAAACCTTTTCTCTACAGACCCTCCGCAACTGTGGGTGGCAAACGAAAGTGGGGAACCCTTAAAGGCCTTTTTTGGATGTCGACGAAGGGTCTCTGTCCCTTATTTGAAAATCCGAGTGCTTCACTCATTCCCGTACTAAGATTCTGCGTCAAGCGCAGAATCGCGGTCCGACCAAGCGATATGGGACCTTCTTCCGGCTCTGTGACAACTGCCTCTTTATTGATGTATTCATATGAAGGTTAACTTCGACTCTTGTCTAACAAGTTGTTCTCTGTACAGTACTGTACAGCTAGAATAGATGTGCACTTAGCACCGAGGCTGAATCTTTTCAAATTTCAAAGACGGCCCGTCTCTGAACATTACTGAGTGACAACATACCTTGAATTATTAGATGAATTGCATTTAAGGTTACATCAGTAGTCTGCGGCTTGAAGCCAAGAAAGTCTGGTTGTAATTGTGATATTGTCTCGATCTCGATCTTGTGCGTAATAAATGAGCGGGTCCAAGTTCTAAGGCCTCGATGCTCTCAAAAGTGCGTAATTTGAAAGTCTACCTTGAAATATCTCGGCCCTATGGCACGGTAGATTTGACCTTCCTTTTGAAAAAAGATAATAGCTCTCGACTAAGACTCTGGCCTGCCAAATGATTCTCAAATGCACTGTACAGTACGTACAGCAGACAAAATAAAGACGGGGAACTACTGCCACCACAGCTTCTTCCTACACGAGATGTGGTATCTGGTTCCGTGTAGGGTCGATCACTCTTTGACGCAGACGAGAAGCTCCTACAGTAGTCCATGGCTTGAATACAGAAATTTAGGAACGTGGCTGCGAACTTTTCTTGAGCTCAGCAGGAAAAGTCATTTTGGCTATTTGCCCCTCTCTCTGTTTATCGGAGCCTCTCGTTGCCGGTATGCCTAACTCGCCAGCTGCAGCCTCCATCCTTAGCAGGATTTCAGTCCCTCTTCGGACATCTCAAGGGACTATGAGCATGCAGAATGAGAATGAGGGGAGGTCTCTGCTTGTATAAATGCTTCGCACGAGCCTTATTGTACCGTGGACTACGAGACTGTGCCACCACTTCAGGGCACTGTTGCTTTAGCAGCACCCGTTGCTAGAGTAATAACAGCTGCAAGAGCTGTTATTGCCGTGGTGCCCTGCACAGTGAAAGTACGAGTTCAAGGCCCTTGACATCAGGTCGAAGAGCCTTTAGGGCACATTGAATGGACTCGCTCGCACTCAGCTCGGTGAGAAGTTGGAGAATTGCACATCTACAATAACAGTTCCTCGAACTTGCCGACAGCCGGCACCATCACGACACTGTTCTTTGTGTGTCTTTGCTGAAATTTTCGGACGCGAATGGCAATATTCTCCGGCTCAAAACCAAAATGCTTGTAGAGAAGGTCGGCGGGCGCGGAAAGGCCAAATGAGTGCATGCTGACTGACGCGTGGGCGTATCTGGCCCAGCCGAACGAAGACCAAGCTTCGACGGCCACGATGAGTGCGCCAGCGGTCGGCAGCACTTCCTCCTTGTACTCGGCTGAGTGCTGATCGAAAAGAGCCTGACAGGGCATGGAGACCACTCTCGTGCCGCAAGCGTCAGAGGTCAGCAGCGAAGCCACCTCGATAGCGAGATGCACTTCAAAGCCTGTAGAGATAAAAACGAGGTCCGGCACGCCGTTCAACGCGGCCTTCGATTGGAAAATGGGGTAGCCGCCTCGCGCGACCCCCTCTCGAGACGTGCCGTCAAGGAGGGGAAGCGCCTGTCTGCTGAGCGAGAGCATCGATGGCACATTGGCCTGCAACGCTATCGTCCAAGCTCCCATGACTTCCTCGGCATCGGCGGGCCTCAGGAAATTAATGCCGGGCATAGCCCGGAAGAAGCTTGCGAGCGCAATCGGCTGGTGAGTCGGTCCGTCTTCACCTATGCCAATTCCGTCATGGGTGGCAATGTAAAGGACTCTGAGGCGCTGGAGAGCAGCCATACGGACAGCAGGCGCCGCATAGAGAAAGAACATGAAGAAGGTCGACACCACGGGGAGAATCGCGTTGGGGTGATAGGCGGCCAAGCCGTTGGCGATGGCGACCATGGCGTGCTCGCGGATCCCGTAACGAATCTGTCGGCCAGCGAAGCTGCCGCCTTTCCCGGATCCGGAGAGGTTCGGAGACTGAAATGTCATGGAGGGAGCCTTGGACCAGGCCACAAAGGTCGAGTCCATCAGATCGGCGGACCCGGTCATTAGCTGGGGCAGCACCGGTCCCAGCTTGGCAATGACAATACCAGACGCCTTGCGCGTGGCAATCGGCTCCTGCGGAAGGTTGCCTTTAAAAACTTTCTGTGCTTCCATTTTCTGTGCCAATTAATCTCTTCAGAAAGAATCAATAGAGAACGGGAGGGTGGATGAAGGGTGAAAGTAGAAGGACGGCACTCAGATTTTCAAACCAAAGACAGAGAGCCTTCGTCGACATCGAAAGAAAGCCTTTGACGGGTCACAGTCTCATTTGTCACTCACATCGCCAAATTCTTGAAGAGAAAAGGCTTGCAGAACCCTTGTTCCCACTGTTCCCATTGCTCCCATTGCTCTCGTATTTATCTTCTTATTATCGTTTCCCATCGTTCTCACTGGGTTGACACAACTTGCAACTGACACGAGTAAAGCCATGTACAGCAACACATGACAAATGGCTTCTGGACTGGACCTGAAGAACCTTATCGGTTGATTGGAGCCAGGACGCGTTTGTGGCGCTGTCGCAGACAAGAATGTTGAAGTACCACTCATGCCCAAGTCAGATACAGTAAAGAAAACCATTACCTCTTGGAGAAAAATCCTGACAAGGAGATAGAGCAGAGTGTGACGGGTTGCAATGTGCCCACAACGATGGCTGCAGCTTGCCTGGTTGTTGGTTGTCAAAGAAGGAATAAAGTGCCAAGGCTCGGAAACTTAAGGTCGTACGCGTAGCACGGACAGTAGAATTGAAGCCAACAGGGAGGGCCACAGGCCATTCTCCTAGCCTGCCCTTTGCCTAGCGGGGATAAAGGCAACGCATCCAGTTTGCTTTAAATTTTGGCTAAAGCCACTTCGATTGGAGAAAGAGAGGAGGAGCCGGCGGCTGAAATTAAAAGAGAAGGATAATGAGCGGCCCCATCGACATCAAAACGTCCGACGAAACCGACGAAGCTACTCCACGAATCAATCTCCGCCTGTTCAGTGGATCTGCTTGATGCGCTGAACCATATCCATATGATTTGCCATAATGGACGAGAGCATGGCGAAGGTAATGGTGTCGATCTTACTGACATTGATTAGCTCTGCGCGCTCGAGAATCGAGATTCCAAACAGGTGCGCTACGATGAAAAACTTTCTTGCTCGCTCGGCGCGTTTTCGAAGTCCTGCGTAATTTGCAGGCTCACTTCGTTGATTCTGCAAGATCTTTAGTAGAGCTGGATACGCTTCGTCGTGGAAGCCCTTGCTTGCGACGTAATCGAGCGAGCTTGTTGCGGACGACACGATCAAATTCGCGTAAGCATGTCCAAATTCGAAATACCTCGAATTTACGTCTTGAGATGCGCCGTAATGCAGACTCTCAGCATGACCAAGACTCCGCAAGGCAAGAGAGACACGGCTTGACCTATCTAAGCTCTGAGAAGAATGTTCAAAGAGGTCGTTCGTGGACATGACAGTCTGCGTCCAGTCTTCTCTCCTCATTCCCGACGCAGAGTACTGTGCGACTTGTGTTCGTGGCTTGTCCAACAATTCACCCATGAGTTGCTGAAGCCGTCGCTCATGGCGCTCAGCAAGACCTTTTTTCTCTGAGGCTGGAAGCTTCGATGGTCGGCGAGCTTTGTCATCGGTGTCTTTTGTGATGTTTTTCACCTGAATAGAGAGTCAATGGTGACTGCGATTTTTAAACTGAAGAAAGCTTTTCCTCCAACTCACCACAAATTCCTTTCCTCGAAAAGAGAAGAAGAGGTCTGGCGCTTTGTCCAAGCTTTGAAGTTCTGCCCGGGCGAGTGCCTCAAGGAACGCTCGATAAATGATTGCTACGTGAGTCGGATCATTCTTCCCTTCTCCTGGATCCATATACTCTCTGGCCGATTGAACGAAGTTCTCGATCCCTGAAACCCGTAAAAGCTCGGATTCCGTGGGTAGAGCGAGCTCGATTGGGGTGCCTGACATCGATAACCTGTCGAGCCTGCTGAAGTGAAGATGATCGAGATCTTAGACCACCGTGAGCCTTTGTCCTCTATTATAGCCAGGTGCCATCATACAAAGGGAACAATCTGGACAAAGGGATCTGAGTCTTCAACAGTCCCCAGATCTGAATTTGAATCATTTCGCGTTTTGTTTCTGAAATGTATCTAATAACACAAAAACGAAGGTCAAGTTTTGAGGTTGTACACTTTGTCAAACACTGCAAGCGTGAGAGGCAGTATAGACAGCAGTTCTCCGCTCAAAGGTACCAGAGCTGAAAATCGCAAGGTCTTACGCTGCTCGACAGCCGGCGTCTTTTCTTGTCAGCTGCAAGTCGCGGAGAGCACGTGACTACAAGGTGTCACGCCCTGTTCAGATCAGCCCCTCATCACGATGAGCAAATCGTCCTACCTAAAAATGGTTTTCCGCCCGACGTAGATTCAGAATGTGGCGCAGGGTTAGACTGGCTCATTTTAAGACCCATTTGTTTAGCGTACTACCTTGTCCTCGTAACATCATGAACATTGGCACCAGCATGAACATTGGCACATTGCAAGCGAAACCTCTCTACCTCGGTCGTCGTCTGCTGGGCGAAGGAGGTTTCGGCAAAGTCTACGAAGTAGAGCGAGCTTCGGACAAGAAGGTGCGTTTAATGTGCAACAAACAAGTCTGAAACGAGTTTCGCTCATCCAGAGAAATCATAGCTTTTCGCTCTGAAGATCGTCACGGTCAGCACCAATGCCGAGCAACGAAAGATTGCTGCTCAAGAAGCAGCACTTCACTCGAAACTGGCACACCGCAACGTCATCGCTTTACTCGAATATTGGGAAATCGAACGCTCATTGCATCTTCTTATGGACCTGGGGACTTATGGGGACCTAGAAATGTATCTGGCTCAGAGGAACAAGTCTACGTAAGTCCTGTTTCTCTGTTATTCGATCATTAGGCTGAGAAAGATGGTCGATTGGTGAGTGACAGCATTGAGCTCCGACGAAATCTCTTTGCACAAGTCTGTGCTGGATTACATTACCTTCATGAAGGTCAGGACAACCAAGTGTCGGTGATTCATCGCGACTTGAAACCCTCCAATGGTAAGCAGATAATTGATTGTATGCCTGTCATACAACGCATCGTAGGATGTGGCGAAGACAGTGATGCAGATAAATGAAGCTCACAGATTAAACTTACCAGTCCTGATCGACCACAATTTCCGTGCAAAAATCGCCGACTTTGGCTTGGCAATCGTACGTGACAAACACGCGAAAGGACATTGGGGCATCGCAGGTGTAAGCACAGAGGTCCCTCATCTTATCGTACCATGCAACCGTGCTTACTGCATAGGTGCTTCATTCTTTACCTCAATGCAGACGCCTGGCTTCAGATCGCCAGTGAGTGGAGAATCTGTGCTTGAGACACACGAGTTGTGGCTGTTGATCCTGTCCCTACCCTCTTCTGTGGGCAACAGGAAATGCTGAGAGGCGAAAAATACGGCGTCAAAAGCGACTTGTGGTCTCTCGGATGCCTTTTCTTTCAAATTCTGACAGGAAAGTGAGTGCCGTAGACTTGCTGAGGCTTTCTATATCTCACATAATTCTCTTTTGATAGACACCTGTTTGATGAAGGTGGTGTCAACAGAGATCAAAATATTTTACGGAGTCGTAGCTTGGCCGCTCTCGCCGATCTCAACCTTCCTGAGAAAAACGTGGTCAACAGTCTTCTTCAAGCTGTGGTGAGCTCTTGTACGGCTCTCAATGAAATTGCATTGAGACACTTACCATCTTCTTTGTTCGTCACCGTCACATCTGCTTCTGCTGAAACAGCCATTACAGAGGCTGTCCTCGGCCCAGCTACTTGCCAATTCTGCTGTCATAGATTGGCTTGCAGACACGCCCCTTCGGTGAGTTCACCCTTTTCGACCAAATATATGCTTCTAATGCAGCCCATCGGAAGTCTTGATGATGTGCATCGAGAGAACACTCGGGTCGATTCCGCATCTCCCGTCGGACCGCCTGAGGAGACGAAAAAAAAACCTGTTCGTCACAAACTCGTCAGCCACCCGAGCCCCTCTCCTCTTTTACCTTATTTCACCGCCCAGATCTCCGAAGAAAGGTGCGTGCACTTCTCTTTCTACCCTTTTCTTCACGACTACAACTCATCTCGTCTTTCTTTTAGGCCAAAGGCCGTACATTTCCGAAAAATAAAGATCGGCGCTTGATCAACTCTGCGGGGGAAGGGTTACAGTTTAGGGCTGTCAAGACCACTGATGTCGTGATCCCTTCGATAGCTCGACTCGAGGTAGCACAAACGCAGTGCAGCGAGGCCGAGCATAGTATAATGAGCTGTATGAAGTGTGCCTTTTGACACGCTACCTATTTTACGTTTGTAAAAATCTCCTAACACTGTTGCTCTTGTTACGAAGTGATTCTTCAAGGACATAAAAGGTCTTTGCAAGATTGTATTCTTTCGAGAGACCCCGAGGTGGAGAAAAAGTGAGGTATAAAGGATGGGGAAGACCGTAGGGTCGTATATTAAAGGCGCTGACAGTGCCGTCTGTCGCGAGCAAGGTGCAACGGCAGGATCACAGCAACGCAAACACAGGCAAGCGCTAATAAAAGTGATCATGGAGGAAGAAGATGGCTGACAAAGATCCCATAGCACTTCAGAGACTCATTAAATTGACCGGATCAGACGAGCTTGGAAGAGTATATGAAGAGTACAAGTCAATCTACACTAGACGTGTGCTCACTGACTTGCATACTTTATACCAGAGCGTGTGTGCTCTTGTATCTAGGCAAGCTGTGCTGTCAGGCGTGTACTCGCCGGTTGACACTGAAGCTATCCATCCAGATTTTTCTTCTGTCGATCGAACACCCTTACAAAAAGTAGTGCGGCGAGAAGACAGCAACACCGGCATGAGTAGCATGGTCAAGAGCAGGAGAGGCATCGACAGACGATGTGATACGCGCTGCACAATGACGATAGAACTCCCTTACATCCGATTTGACGCAAACGAAAAGTCGGGCACCTACAAGCTCCGAAGAGCATTTCAGTCCCGAAAGTCCCTCAATGTGACGGAAAGGCAAACTTATGCCAGATTTACATTGTTGTCACCAGAGCATTACCGCCGTGGCGAAGTCAGAAGCTGACGCCATCTCCACATCGGTGAAACACATGGGTAAAATCTCGCGGGTTTTAGAAAGACTCCGCAAGAAGTCTGAGTCTAATGAGTTTTGACAAATTTGTCTTCTCTCAGACCGCTTCGGGAGGGTTTCGACAGCTCGCAAATGCATTCAACCCTCTCGAATGCCCTCAGCTTGGCGTCATGTCCTCCACTGCCTGTATATTTGAAATGTCTATCCCAGGAGCAGGCTTGTGCCGTTCTTTCCTCTTGCTCTTCATTCTGATAGAATCTTGCATGAGTTCTCGAGCGACCATGATATGCCAATCTCATCGAAACTACTTGTTATGAAGGTATTTTCGCTCAGCTCTACTAGTCCAACAAAGATCAAAAGTCCCTCTCCTCGTTCATGAGATCGATTCTTTCGATTCGCGTTTTGAGACGTAAGCTTTTGATAGGTAGCCTCTTGCCCATTCCACGGGCGAATTTTCGGCTGCAAATTGCCTGTGATGAGTTGAAGCCGTGATGAGCGACAACTTCCAGTTCTGCTGCGGCGGTTTTGATGGTTGTAACAGCTTTATCACCCTCTTTTGAGACGCTGAAATCGTTTGCCTCCTTGCTGCACCTTGCTCTGACATACTTTTCGGCATTTTGAGAGAGAAAAGCAAAGCTTTAGAAAGTTTCAAAACATATCTAATGAAGCATCTCTTACCTGCCTCAACGTGATGAAGAACCAAAAGAGAGCTGTGTTACTCATCTGACGTCGAGCAACTGCAGAAATATGCAGCGTGAGATAGACTGCTAAACAAGATCTCTATGACTCTCACCGTCGTAGCTCCAAAAGGACAAAAGCTCTCCAAAAGCTGGCTTTTCACTAAGTTGGTTAACACAGCAAAATTACAGCTCTTTCAAGCGCTTCGCATATCAGCCGGTATAGCCGCTTTGTGCGAGACTGTTCCAAAAGATGAGTGTTTCTTGATAGACATCGGTAGACGAGCCGGCTTTTATGATGACCTACAGATAGCGTTCGCGTCCCATGACTTGCTTCCTGCCGTGGCGTACTCGAATGCTTTGTGGGTAGATGATGATCATGTTTGTCCACATAAGCCAGAATGAAGGGTGAATTACGATGCTTTCCTCTTTGACCTCGCGATACCATTCATCCGCCGAGAAATCGTTTCGCTTTAGCGCTCTGCATCAATTTGTTCGAGCTAGACGTTTCGAACGCGCGATTCCCATCATTCGCATATTGGTCTTTCCTGTGGTCTTGCAAGAGCCATTTTTCTGATGCTGTGGCAGGACAAGCGAATGATAAATTGTAGATCGGGGCTTTCTATGAAAGTGAGAAAGAGCTAGAGTGCATCATGTTGAAGGGTCAACGGAGATGTCGACTGGATCAGAAGCAATCCGACTGCTCGCTACCAAAGTCTAGTCCGGTAACTTTGGAGTCAAGCACATCGTCGGGCGCATTGTCAGTTTTCTTCTATCTGAGTCACATGGACGCCATACAGTAAGTCAGATTTTCTTCCTCGTGCAGGAAGTTGAGTGCGGCATGCACGCTAGAATGCCATTTACCCTTCTTCTTTAGGTGAATTCGACAGCAGCGTGCAGATGCACAATGTGGTGCTTTTTTGGACTCAGCACGCTTTTCACCAGCGTCTGTCTGTCTATGCCTAGCTTGCAGCTGTCAACGCTTCGGTGTTATGCCTTGCTGACACTGCTTGTCGTACCAGCGCGCTGCTGGGTGGCCGACCTCGACCTGAATACAATACGCGCCTCCAACATCTCCTGGTCTCAGTTCAGCTTTTTCTTCTCCCAGAAATCTGGGCGAGGCTTTCCGAGCAGGGAATGAGCGACTCAGGTCTCGGCTTGTTCCTTGTGTATGAATTGTTCTTTGCGTGGGCTATGCTCAGTTTCTTGTTGTCAGGTGGCATCACGGAAAGCGGCAGCAATAAGAAGCGTTACTGTATCGACGAGAGCAGCGGAATTTCCTGCTCCAAGGCCACATTACCTCCAAAAGGTATATCGGACAACACGAACAAGAGTTGCGGTGCCCCTGAGCAGGGAGAGGTCAACTTCGTGGTCACGACTAGCGCTGTGAATTTTGTCTTCTTAGCTGTGCTGCAGTTTTACTGATGTAATTGCAACGTTAAGAACCAAGTTCACATGTTGAAAGAATGTATTCGAGAGCTTGAGGCTGTCGATCAGTGTCTACAGAGACGTGATCACTCATTCAGTGTTGCAACTTAGCCCAATACGCCGCCGCTGTCTTGATTGCCCGCCATGTTGGCCGTGATCTTGTTACTGGGAGGTTGGTCGCCCACCGAAATTGTTCCTTGAGGTGCACAGCGTAACAGGCGAGCAGCAAGCAGCCCTTTTGCCTAGAACTACACCTAGATGAAAATGTTTCACCCGAAGATAGATTGAAGTCGAGCGCTGCTAACGGTCTGAGGAGAGCGTCACCTCGCTCCATGCGCTAAATCAGGAAAAATTAACGGTGTATTTGTGTAACAGTAGAACACATTAATTCAAGAATGAAAAGGGAACATTACGTGTGAGCGCGTGTTACGCGGTCGAGGCAGCAGAGAGAAGCAATACAAACAGAAAGGCCGGAAAAAAGTCATTATTTGATTGGCAGCTCAGCGGGTTGCGCCCATGCGGTCAAGCCAAACCAAAAGAGGACGTAGACGAAGAGCCAACAGGCCGGCGCAATTCAACCATTCAAGCATGCATTCGAGGTACCCGGCAGTGCACAGATTTCAGCGAGTTATCAAGGAGGCGCTGTCACACGCAACCACCCAGCCAAAGACGAAGGAAAGACACGAATCTGTTCGCCCTTGTCGCTCTCGTCACAGCCGCTAGTGCCGTGTCCCGGCTCGCAACAGGAGTGGGTTGTCGTCAGGACAGCATGCCTTTGATCAAGAGCAATTCCCGCGAGGTCGAAGAAGGTGATCCTTACGAACCTTTGGCGGAGGCTCGCCAAACCACCCATGTGAGAGTGGCCTCAGCCATTGCAATCAAAGCCAATACTCATTTCAGATCTTGTTCATCGCTGCCATTTACAATTCACCACGTGTCATTAGTGCAACCCTTGTCGTTCGTCACACGTGAAAAAAGTACATATTCTCAGGCACGAACGCGTTGAACTTGTCCCATCAACCAACGATCATGACTTCCCTCCTCGCTGCGGCTTCGTGGTCAGACCAAGGTGTTCTTGTTGTTTCTGACGCCAGCGGGCAACAACTCGTCGTCGTACCAATAGAATTCATGCTTCGCGGGCACACCGGCACATTCGCCTTCGTGTATGAAGTGTTGCGATTTTGTTTCGAAGAGGATGGCGTCATTCGCTATTCTTTGGATGGAGAAGAGGTCGGCGAGGAGCTTCCAATTTCTTCGGGGAGATTTTGGTTTCAACGTGTAGGCAAGTAGAGGACGTGATCGACCATCATGAATGCCCGCTCAGCTACACTCTACAGACCGCTCAGCGAGCCCGTGTACACCAAGGAAAGGCCCGCGGTTTAAGTTCAGGCATCGTGCTCCGGTAGATGGCGAAGAAGTCAGCACGATGAGTAACTCCAGACGCTCGACACACAATCAAGTAAGTACGGCAGGCCGTCACATATGTCTTTTTAACGGGACGATTCACGGGCGTGAATAGGCATCGTTCCGGGAAGCTCTTGTTGGTCGAGATTACTCGTGTATCCTTTCGGACACCAAGTTCACCGGATGCACAGCAAGCCACATTCTTCCACAAAGTCGTCCCGAAGTAAGTCATGCGCCTTCGCTCTCCCAGACAAATTGCTCAATGTGTGACAGTACTATGAAGAAGTGCTAGGGTACGACCCTCGCTACTACTTCCACGTATCCTACGGGCTGCTTCTTGAGGACAAGATTCACCACGCCTTTGATCGAGGCGAATGGGCATTGTATCCTATAGTGAGCGGGCTAAGCAGACATTCAAAGCACGCCGGCCTCTGATATCTTCTACAGGCAGACAAGCTCGTGGTGCATGTCTTTGTAACAGCTGTCGCTGACCTGCGACCTTACCATGGTAAAGTCTTAACCTCTGATCGATTTCGAGGCGACGCAACAGACCGCCCTCGCTTGGACATGCTAATGTTTCACTACCAACAATGCTCCATGAGGAGGTTTCGTGGCTTCGCAGCAGGCTTCTCATCGGCTGTCGAAGAGCGCAGCGGCAGTGATGCATAATTATAATTCGTCGTTGGAACACACACTTTGGTTTAATCAGACGGACCAATCCGCCCTTCTAGTCTCACCTTACCCTCCCGTTCTCTATTCTTTCTTTCTGAAGAGATAAACGGGCACAGAAAATGAAAGCACAGAAAGTCTTTGAAGGCAAGTTGACTGTCGCAGGGACGATACGTACACTGCTATCGGATCTTAGAAGTTCTTCACAGAATGGCTTAGAAGGAAGGTGACTCTGGCCGCCCCCGCTGCGACTTCATTTTGCTTGAGACGCTTGACATAAACAAAATACGCGGCGCTTGTTGAAGAAGCGACAGGCGCGAAGAAAATGCCTTCTGAGGGTCCGATGATGCCGATATCATCATGATGGCGATCAGAGTTGCTACCGTCCGAACTTGCTCCGCGTATGCTTCTTGGCGCAAGCTTTTGACTACCACAGCATTTCAATACGCGTTCCTTAATCGCATATTTCTTTTGTAGGTTGAACAGTGCCTGGGCAAGCCAGTGCGCCTCTAAAAGAACGAGGAGAGTAAACCAAATTATGATGTCGCTGTCCTGACAACGAACTTTTCGCTGTCTTGGCGAGTATTAAGTTATATTTGGGCGCTTTCTACGCTCCGCGAACAATCTATCTGGACGGTGTCGATTCTCGCTTCTGCATCTTCAACCATCATCACTCTCTCCATTCTGTACCAGAGGCTTCCAAAAAGTGCCAGGTATTCGGCGACAACACCAACAAGAAGGAGTTCGAGAACAAGAAGCAGTCAAAGAAGCGATTGATGGAGTAACAGCAACCTTTAAATGCAGCGAAGGAGTACGACCCCTGCCTTTAAACAGTGCTCCGACTCTTCAAGGCAATCCATTGGTCCCCGGAGCGATACAACGAGCTTAGCTATCGCCGCATTCGTAATCAGACCGAGGATTTTATCTGGGCATTGACCCTTTGAAAGGTTGAAGCATATATGAACTGGTAAGGTGATCTGTTGATTCGTGATACGTGAATCTCACGCTCATGCTAAAAAAGCGGCCTTTATCTCTTCAAGTTGCAGCAGGTCGACACAGGGTGTAGTTTGACAGCTGCAAACATCTTTGGCGTGGACGAATCCCCTTTAGCACTTGTCCAAGCTCAACACGGCAAGGAAAAAGCGCTCTATATTCAACAGTCTGCTCCGAACTTCCACCACAGACGTCCGGAGTCGCAAGCACGTAAAGGCGAGTGTCATTGCTGTGACTCGCGCTGACGGCTCCACCTTCCCCCGACGATTGAGACGTGGCAAGGACCGACAGGAACATTTTGAGAAAAGGCACACAGATCTACCACAGAAGGCAGCGCCCTAGTCACAGCTCGCGCATGCCCATATCTCTGTTCATTCTGACGGGAAGTGAGAATAGCCTCGAACGTGCATGACAGCGCACTGCCGATAGTGAAACGCCAAGAAGTCCCGTCGCGGCAGCTCAATCTCGTCATCGATCCGAAATCTATCTCGGCGCAATACTTTGCCGTGATACTCCTTCGCCCTGACATCGGCAAAGACGTGGACTATAAGCGAAAATTGATCGCGAGAATCAGGAAATAGGGCCCAATTTCCTTGGTCGAAAGAATGGTGTAGGTCGTTCTGAAGAAGTATACCGTACTCGACTTCGTGGTATGATCCAGGTTGATGTCCCAAGAGCTCGGAATAGTACTTAATGGAACAGTATAGGACTTCATGTAAATCACGAGAGATACGTGGTTTAGTTGGAGCTGCACTCACCTCCGGGCGACTTTGCGGGAGAATGTGACAGGCGACAGAACTTCTCACCCTATCACTCAGAAGGCACGCGCCATCGCGCGCAAGAAGAGCTCGCCTGAAGGCAGCCTGATAGGACAAGTAAGCGCCTGCTTTTTTGATGCGGCAAGCAATTGAACAGTACTCACTTGGTTGGTATTCGAGCCTGTCAGAGATGATGCACTCATTGTACTATGCTCTGATTCCGGCCTTGGTGCTCTGTGCGCATATTGTAAACGCGGCCCGACGGTCGGGCTACACCCGAGCGAAGAATCATCTACAGAATATAGGTCACTTAACAGGAGTAAGATCTTGGTAGCACGGGGATGAGCTCACCGGAGCGTATATAAAGGTACGTGCCGGTCGCTGGAGGTTGCTCGCGGTTCAGGTGAGTCCCGTCCACCTGACAAATCGCTCCTTCTTCCTTTATGCAAGCAGATAACGTGTGTTCTACATACTCCCATGTGAGCACATGCCCTTTTCTCATGAACTCGATGGACAGCCCCACGAGTCTGTTGTTCTCTTGATCGACGATTTGAAGGAAGCCATCGTGCGGCCAAAGGCGGGAAGTAAGGGAATAGGTCGTTGGAAGGTTCATGATGGAGTGGGGCAATGAGATTGCAGGTTTTGACCGAAGCTAAAAGGCCGGCAAATCACGTGCTATGTCATGTGATCAATGAAACAAGGGCGGAGACACGTGTCGGAGAAATGTTAAGAATTAATATTGGCCCCTCGACATGGACTCGCGGTTCTTCGTGTCGCGTGAATACTCCTCAAAGCACCGCCGTTACTTGAACTTCGGGACTAAGCAGTAGCCAGAAATTCAGGTCGTCTTTATGCCTGAGAAGTGCACAGGTCGAGATCCGTCGAGAATGCGTGCAACGATGGGAGTGAGTGCCGTTTTATAAAGGCCACTTATGGACGATGTAAATACCAATCGCGAGTCGTTCGGATAATCAAATAGCTTCGAGAATGCTCGAAGCATGTTGTTGTAATGACTTTGAGCGTGACTTTGGGGCATTCAAAGTTAAACAAAGGAGCTTTCTGCCAAGCCGACCTAGGGAGGTATAGATTGCGGTGAGAGCTCGAAAACCAATGAGCATGCGTGGGCTTAAACTCCCATATTGCCCTCAAATTTGTATCGCCAAGCAGCTGCAAGCTATCACTTGAGTCTGTGATTTGACGAGAGGGCATGAGGAATCTGTTGACAACGCTCTTCCAAGGAAGAAGATCATAGATGAAGTCATCGATTCACGGCGTAAGGTGTTGCAACGAGTGAGTGGAAGGATGCCAACTGACGACGGCACTCGTTTCACGGTCGAAGGGCTGTCAAACTTTTCTCTACAGGTGATCGACTTACAGCTGACGAATGTGTCTTCCATTTACGACGAGGGTGGAAGCAGCTGCGAAATGTTCTTTTTCGCAGGTATACGGCGGCGTACAGCGTCTGGCATCCTGGTGATAGGCAATCACTTTGGGTCGGGGCTCTCGCATATCTGCTCCTTTAATTTGATTGGTCAAAATTTGCCAGGCAAAAATTTCCGTAGATTGATCATTTAGCGCGGGCGCATGCTCGCGTGGACACAATCCATCGAAATGTCCACGTTCGCCAAACCAACATTCTTAACCCTGGCAGGCCATAGATCCTAAAATAAAAAGCCTTCGACAGTACGATCCACTTAAGGTGGATTTCTCGAGTAGGCTTTCTCGGCAATCCGCGCTCCTTCGCCTCGTGGATATGGACGTAGCAGATCTCCATATTTTTCTTCTGTTCCTGATCGAGCTGGCCGGCGACTGCAGGCAAGCTTTCATATCGCGACCATTTGTCATTTTATTATTATCATAGGTGGTCAGCGTCAGAAGATGCGTCACAAATTTCACCTATCTGCGTGTCATTCGTCTCGGTACGACGAGCAAGTTTTTAGCTTCCCGTATTGCAGCTCACGCGATGGGAAAATAAGCATCTAAGGATGTATTCGTGCAAACCCTCGTCGCGCGATCTCGTCAACCTTCGCAGCCGCCGACGGCTCCTCTGATCCAATTGCTGGTCGTTGCGAAGTGAAGGGAGCTACGCACGTCGACATGATCGACGATAGAGTAGGTCATTTCTGTAATTATCGATCGAATGATGATTCGGACCAAATATTGACCCTGAAAACGGAAAAAGAAGTTTATGCGCAGAAGCGATATCCTAGAGGCTGCACAAAGCGTTTCAAAAGTCCACTTTGAATGACGGGGCGGAAAGTCTTTTCATCTTACCTATTGGGAGGCTGCCAAGCCCACGTTCCCATGATGTCTTGTATTTCGTCCCAAATAACGAGGTCTACGCCTCGCCCGGCGATAGAGCGCTTCATTGCAGCAGAAAAGCCCCTCTTCGGGTTTGTTCTGTCTTTCGTGCAATGCTTCCAGTGGTCTGGCCCACTATTTCTAGAAAAGGTTTGCTTGGACATGATCAAGTTACTTGCGTGCATGGCGTACTGCTCACTTTCCACGCAACATCATTTGACATGCGATCGATTTAATTGGCAGGATGCTAGAGGTGGCATGCACCCCACATGGCCAGCGAGTAGGCGATCTCAACACCTTGCAATACTTCCCAACAGCCGGAATGCATCAGAAAGCCTCCTACACAGGCAGACACATTGAAAGAATGTGATCCTAGTCGAGCCCACTCTGTCTGAGTCTCGTCGAGGCCATCGATTCGTATTGTGCCGCCCGGCACTCAGTGCACCGACTTGTCTGGCTTCTTTGTGACGGAGCGGACGTCCAAAGCCTGATGAGACACCAATCCACTGAATTGACTCACATTCTTTTCTCATGAACTCGATGGACAGCCCCACGAGCCTGTTGTTTTCTTGATCGTTGATTTGAAGAAATCCATCGTGCGGCCAAAGGCGGGACGTAAGGGAATAGGTCGTTGAATGATTCTTGATGAAGTGGTGCAATGTGATTACAGATTTTGACCGAGGCTGAAAGGTCGGCAAATCACGTGTTGTGTCATGTGATCAATAATCGAGGGCAACCTCATAAAGGCCCATGTGGTCAGAATCCTCTTGGGGCCAAAAATGAAAGCTTGCCCAAGTCAAATGAAGGCTTTCATGGCTGTGCCTGACAGACCGAGTGGCCACAGTGGCAACAAGCTGCGATTATTCGGACGATGCTCTCTAAGGCTTTTCGCGAGCTACTTCAACAGCCTGCTTTGATGTCTCCGAATCGTTGACGCGGCGACGAATCGTTGTTCAAGATTATGAGAATATGGGTAGGACTCACCTTGGAGCTTTCTTTGCTGAATAGCGAAACTTGCCAGTCATATACGGCCGGGCCTGCAGCAAGCGACGAGGCCTGCCGCATACGATTTCCGCGAAGAAGCTGCGATACTAGATCGGGGAAGCAGCCGACGACCTACAGATAAAAACGAGAACAAGAGTCTAACATTTGGGCACGATCAGTAATGTAGAGAGATCTATAGCTTTGCAAAAGAAAAGCAAAAGAGAAAAAAAAAAAAGATCACATCTTTGGAGCTTGCATGCATCAATCTACAGATTTGTCACGGCAGATCCCCGTACTGTAGTAGTGTAAGGCCAATGAGCCGCTTGATGGTCGATTAATGATCGAGCTGACAGAGAAATAAATGCATGATTTCACGATGTCGAGCCCACAACGGCTTGTCCTCCTCTTGCCCTCCTCCAACATGAGGTCTCTGTCCTAGTGCTCCTCTTGCCCTCCTCCAACATGAGGTCTCTGTCCTAGTGCTTTACCCACTTATGGATGAAGTGAATGATCCTTGTAGCCCTCCGGCAGCATACGCCAAGGAACCCACTTATTCTTGCTGAGTAAATGTAATAGCCTCCAACACACTAATATTGCCAAACTTCCGCTAGCACACGAAAAGCAGTGAGATGTAGAGTATCCTTCCCGTGTGGGCGGTGCTAGCGGTTTGGTGACCAAATCCCAACTTTGAGAAGAGGAATTTTTCGTCCAAGCGCTCGACACTTCCGCTTCTGCTCTTAACTCGCCTGAGTCAACAGATCCAGAGCTAAGTTTGCAAGATGAGGGGATTGTGTCTGGGTTGTCATCAGAGCGCCTAGCGGCAATAGTTGCGACAAAGTTTGAGAAGAAACAGAGACATTTCCGAGACTCAAATCCGGATATCTTATTTGTGAACTCGGTTTGTATTCGATAAGTTCCTCCGTAGCTTCCTTAAGTTACACAGAGGTCGATGCTACGATACATCGATCAAGGGTCCCACTTTAGCCCTTTACCAAGCGGCGAAAAGCAGCAATTTCGTCAGCGTGCACCGGAAGGGGTGCGCAGATGAATGACCTCGCGGTCAGAGTCTCATACAATTTTTCAGTTTTTCGAACGTTCATCATGCGGATCTATCTCTCTGGCCGGTTACAATGCGGGCAAAAAATAGTGAACAGCAAGCGCGGGCAAAAATTACTGAACAGCAAGCTTTACAACATATTTGAGATCATCTGCAGACATCGCTCGAGGCTATGGCTGCAGAACCTAATCCCGTACCGAGACAGACATTCGAGCTCGTGTTCAGAAAATGCTATCCGTGATACACTATAATCTTGTGAGAGTTGCTATCTATGTAGACCTTCTCGTTCGTAGACCCGAACTTCAGGAACACAAGGTATATGGTGAGGAACAACTTAGCGTGGGCTTCACGATGGTACAAAGACGGATGAAGTTAGAAACATGAAAGGTCGCGCTAAAGAAGACGTGAAGGAGAGCGCGGCGAAAACCTTCTTTCCTGTTCCAGTAAGTTTTAGATCAAGACTTAGTCTGCATGCAATACAGAAGAATAGGAGAGAAAAGTTGAAGAAGCATCACGACGCTAAACGTTAGCTCGCACGGCCGGCCATTCGCCTTCACTTCCCTTTTGGGTGTGGTTCTGAGACACCAAGTCTGCGTCACTCCTCGAGAGGCCAGAAGCGATGATTGATGCTTCACAACGGTACGCTAATATTACATTGCACGGCCAACTCGCCTTCTTGATGCGCTAAACTGAGCGACACCCGTTCGATGAGCGATGCAACCTCCGCGACGACCTCATGGTCAGGATTGATATTGTGGGTCCCCTTCAGCGCAGTCATGGGTCCAAGGGTCAGAGTCAGAAGAGAGGAAGCGCACTTCCTCACGCTTCCAAATCTTTCGACGCTTTCGAAGACTCCCGCCCTCAGAGCTGGCACCGGCAACCGGCATTGGTATCTTCGCACTTGCACACCACGTCCCCCGCTCCCGCAGATCGACGTACTTGGGCGCACCGCAAAGCTCCACTTGCACACCACGTCCCCCGCTCCCGCAGATCGACGTACTTGGGCGCACCGCAAAGCTCAGCAGAAGGAGCCTTAAAACAAAATCAAGGCCCAAATGGACAGCTGGGACGACTTTGTGGCTGTTGTTGATGGTCCTGACTCGCTTCAAGCCTGCCTCCGAGACCTCAAGACAGCAGCTTTTGTCTCATTAGCGCTGAAAGGAAGGATGCTCAGTCGCCACGGAGCAATCTCCGTGCTATCGATCCGAGCGGGTGGCAATATGTACCTCGTCGATGTGCATCTTCTGCAAGTCGCTGCTTTCACCACATCGGCAGGAGGAGTCTCTTTAAAGGGTATCCTAGAAAGTACCAGCGTGAAGAAGGCTGTGTACGACGTGCGGAATGCCGCAAATGCACTTTTCTTTCTCTTCGACGTTCGGCTGCGGAACGTGGTCGAGGTTCAGGTTTACCATCTTGTCTCTCGGTCCCCGAATCAGAGGAAATTCTGGTGGAGTCTTGACAAGGCGATCGCACATAGCGGTGTGCTGGACAGTCACACGCTCGCGGACTTCAAGGATGCGCGAACGACTTTTGCACAAGAGTATGTGACAGCGCGCGGCGGCGACGAATATCTGCTGGAGCAGAGGCCCTTCTCAAATTCGTTGATCGCCTACTGCGCCCTCGACGTATTCTTTCTGGGTCAGCTTTACGATGTCTGTCGGGCTCTCGTCACCTCTGAATGGATCGATCGCGTACAGCAACTCACAGCTGTACGACTAGCTGAGAGCATGCAATGGTCATACACACCTTGGAGCGAGGACAAGAAGTTCGCTCCAGTGCAATGGCAGCTCGATGATCGATCTTGCCCTCGGCTGGTGGCCGGCCGCAAGACCTCCACGATGTCCCCATCGCGCGCTGGCAACCGACAGCGACCGGCAGAACGAGCCAGTGCACAGTCATAGCTGCTAATCAAGCTTCCTATCTTGCGCAGAGGATTTCCTCTCTGAAATTAATCGACATCACTTGGGTCCCGTTTTGTATTGGCCGATGTCTTCGTGTGTCAGAGGAGTCATGGTATCGTACGGGTCACAAAGCCTCGAGCTAGAGCACTGTCGTCTTATAGATATAGAACTCGGCATCTAACCGCACAACGTATAGTGTTCAGGATCAGCATCAAATCTAATTCGCGCCGTGTCTGGCTCGACAAGCTCTCGAAACTGCCAAAATCTGCAATACCGCATCATGTTGCACCGCTGGTGGTCAGTATATTCCGTTTTTGACACCAGAAGAATGGCAACGGCGTGAAACAAACCTCTTGATATTCAACGCAGTCCTTGCTGAGCTCTATCAATTGTTGGATGCGGTCGATGTGGTTGGGTCGGAATCGGTCGTGCCTCCATCGAATGAACAACCATTGGGCATGGCATGGTAAGAAGACGAACTCGCCGATGTCACATGACTTTGAGCTAGTCCACCAATGCACTTATGTCGTCAGCTGCAACGTCTGGCAAAGGGGCCTGTGAGTGTCGCAAGCAATCTTGACGAGGAAACTCACGCCGGGAGCTCGACGACTTCACTCGATATCCTGCCACAGTCGATAAACTCATCTCTTCCCTTCCAGCCCATGAGACGTGAAAAGCCTGCTTCGTCACTTCGCTGCACTAGCAGGTCCACGCTAAGGCTTTGGGCGGGTTTCCATCGCATTCTGGATGCCAACGTTCTAGGTAAGCATCAAGATGCTCGATGGCAAAACTACTTCGACCCACATATGCGTCCCCGACTCGAGGTAGTACGGCGCGTCGATTTGATAGAGTACGATCCCCTCCCATTCTTTTGAGAAAGTATCGGCGAAGTTGTCGAGGCATTCAAGAGGAAACGTCGGCTTCAAAAGCAACACTGAGCTGGATGTGCTTTAAGTTAGGACTTCCAGGGTTCTCGGAAATCTGCAACAGCCGAATCACGCACTTTGCTCTCCAGTGATCGCACGTCGACAAAGCTTCAAATCGTTCACAAAGGAGCTGAAGGCCCAAATTAGAGGTTTGATACGGGCATGCACGAAGCAGCTCTCACCTTGCGTCGCTCAAGAAAAGGAAGAGGAGTCGTCGCCCTAGCGTTGATCATCAAACAGTCAAATACGTGGATGGCCCTGCGCACCTCTGGGGCAAAGGCAGCTTCCAGTTCCGTTCCAGTCTCGGTCTTTGACGTCCAACAGAGTTCCCCGTCGAGAATATCAATGACATTCCACGGGGCTCTGCTGAATGGATTTCTCTCGTTGCCATTTGTTCCGTCAGATGACTTGCTTTGTGAAGAGCTCCGATTTTCTGCGGTGAGCTCGAACAATTCATTCTTCCTGTCGTTCTAGAGTAGCTCGGCTGAGTCTGTCATCGCGCACATTTTTGATCAATCAGCTGTCAAGGCGGCTCACCAAAAGCCAACGAGTCACGAGATGATCCCCTTCCCCACGCGACAGACGCAGAAGGAGCACTCGCAGCCCATCTTTCTTCTCCGTCACCTCGTAGCTGTCGACAATGTGAGGTGACCGAGAGCTTAGGATCATCATGCTAACAGGCCAATCTGACCCTACCTGACGACAACTCACAGCGCAGGTTTCAAGCGTGCGAGGCTGTCGCGAGTGAGATCGGCAGGGTGATTACCTGCCGAGATTGTCCGATATCAGTGAACGCCGAGTGCTTGAGAAATGACCACCTTTCGCGAGAAACGGTATGCACACCTATAAAGCTATGCAGCATGCAGAATCAGCCAGCGGTCAGAGATTCTCTTCTTGCGCGCGTTGAGCCCTCACCGATCAAACTTGATCCGCCGAAGTCGTTGCAGCTGCGTCTTCGCCGACATGACGAGCTCAGGCTGTGCAGCGATGAGAGACGCCATTCCGACGATTTCGATCCTGATCTTTCCGACAGACCTGAGACCTGAAATGGTGGAAGAGGGACGTCG